GCGTTCTCAGATTTACAAGACGCAGTCTGGCAGGTCAATGGCCCAGCTTGAGATTCACCTCGCCATCCAGAAAACGTCCCGCGTTTACATCCATGTCATCAGAGAGCAATTGATAACGCTTGGTCGTCGTTAAAACCTACAGACAGCACGGGACAGTAGAAGCCCCGGTTGAATGATATGCTTTAGTGTCTTGACACCGCAGACGGATGAAGGCAGTGGGACAGCATACTTTGATTGTGGGCACAAAGGGAAAGTTGGTGACGGAGCCATTGCCAGTTGTAAACACAATCATGTTGCAGCCGGCCGCCACTTGGCCCGCAATACTTTCCAGATCGTTTCCAGGGCTGTCCATGAAGGCGTATCCATGCCCCTATTCCGGTCATGGGGCCCATCGACAAGAGTTGTGAGCTGTTTGACAGCATCTCGCTTGATTTGAAGGCATCGGCCATGTGCTCATCCCATCGTCATCTTGATCCAGTTTCTCATTTGGTCCCTGTCATCTTTCAGAGTTAAGGTGAAGGCAGCATACCTCAGGTTGAAGCCGCTGACCATACTCGAGCACATGATCGAGGCGAACGTCGGGCAGTTTCTTCATGGCCGCTCCTGCCGACTTGAGGGTAATGTTGTACAGTCCACGGTACAGGTTGCCACCGGAAGGATTTCCTTCCGGGGAATGCCCTCGCCGATTCGTGTAGCGATAGTAGCGATCGACCAACTGTAGGAAGCTACCACCGTACACGGCACATAGGTAGGCAGAGGAGAGAGAGAGAGAGAGGACGCGGGAGAGAAAAGGAAATTGAGGAGAGAAAGATAGAGCCGGTGCATGGTTGTGTGTGGTCGAGAAAAAAAAAGCCTTGTGCAAGTAATCATCACGAGCAAGTACGAAGGAACGGACTGATCGGCTGTGTCGTAGTCGCGCACGCGCTGCAAGACATAGCTTTCGGCTCCAATCAACTCATCAGTCTCAGCCAGGACTGCCGAGCCACCCTGCGCCACAAGCTCACGAGCCATCCATCTATTGCACAAGAGGCGGACGGCAGATGAGGCCCTGTCAGCCACGTTTGCACTCGATATCGTGCATGGCATATGGGCGATGACGCTAGCATGACCCATACCCGGCCAAGGGGTTGGCAGAGATGCCAGAAAAGGCATCCGAGCCACCGCATTGCTGGGCGAAGCAAAGGTGTTCCACACCTACGGCCACACGTTGGTGCTGTTGTGCCTGAAGATACAACTCTTCCACGAGCTCAGTGGCTTGGTGCATTGCCTCCTTCATTGTTTGATTTTTCAAGGAGAGAGCTCGATATGGCACGTCGTCCAGCGGGTAGTCATGAGCACGAATGTACTCGAGCACATGCTATTGAGGTAATCGGAGATGCGCAGTTGGGTAAATACGACCGACACAAGAGGAAGCCAGGTAATTCCAATATGCAGTCACAACATGCATACCCTTGTTGTGACAACTTCATCACCGTGGTCAAGAAACAGAACTGCGCCCACATTGGGGTGGACTGCAAAGCCGGCCAAAACACGCAGAACCTTCTCGACATTGTTCTCATTGTCTGTGGTTAGCTTGGCGTCAAGCCCGCCTTCTGTATGGGCAACAGCAACTACGCCATCACAGGTTGCCTATGGCCCAAGTGATGTCCCAAAAACGAGGGGCGCGGGTGAAGCAACAAATTGGCATCATGCGTCAAGTAGGGTGAGATGGCAAAGGGGGCGGGTGTTAGCACTTTCAGCCGCACCTGACCCTGAAGCGTGCGGGCCTGCTCAAGTGTATGTGTGAATTGTCGCTCAAGCGCCCGTGCAAATCTGAGCAGGCCCAACGTTGCACGGTTAGCACCGCACAAAAAGCCACCGCACCCAAAGAGGACCCGTGTCACACTTTTACGCATTGAGCTCGCAATGGTCGAGGCGAACTTAAAACTCAAGCCCGTGTAATTCAGACGCACCCAGCGGCCCTGGAAGAGATCCCAAGAATGACAACATAGTTGCGAGTCCCGGCGCCACGATTTCCACCTCGTGGAAAACCCATAAAGGTCGTGAGAGGTGCTGGCGTGGCAGCAGCAGATTCATCACGTTTGGTGGGCGGTGCTGGGGAAAAGTTTTGCTGGGCCACGGTATGCCTAGTTTAAGCACCGAACATTAGTTATCCCACCAGTCAGGCCACGCCAAACTCCCTACCGCGAATTTATTGGCATGGACTCACCGCGTAAACGGCGCATTGCGAAACGTCGGCTCGCTGGGAAGATTAAGCTTGCTGTGGCGATCGGCAAATGTAGCCAGGCTCTGACAGTGCAGTGCATGATCCAACAAGCCAGGGGGGTGGTGCAGGGCGCCGTTGGGTGAGTGAGAACTTTGGGGATTGCTGCAGTGTTACTGTCTGATGAACGCAGCACATTGTGTGTATCTGACCACGAGCAGAGCAGGGGGTAGTACCTTCAAATTACAGAGATAGCTGCCCGGAGCCAGATCCATGAGAGCGATTCCAAAGGGCAAGCCCCAAGAGGTGATTTGGGTGCCCTGAGCAATTGGGCACACGGCAAACCTTAGGGACATGGAGTAAACGACGGCCAGAGATCAACCAAGAAACATGAGTGTTTTTTTCCCCAAGTCAAGGCCCAGGACTTGTGCATATCAAAATAAGGAAGAAGCAAACAAAGCCGACGGTCACGCACGCACCGATGGCCTTCAGGAATATCATGGGAAGCGCGTCCCACAGTCTGGCCCTCCACCCGCAAAAGAGCACCCTGTGGGATGAACGTCAGTACTACGCAGCAAAAATCGGTTCGCATTGATATCTGGGCATGGCGGAGCTGACCTTTGCGATGAAATCGAGAGCGAGCGCTGCGTTGTCCGGGCGCACAAGGCTTCCCTTGAGCGCCGATGAAGGGAGTATGCCATTGTCTTGCAGCTAGCGTTATACACAGATACGGAAGTCAGAGCCAACGCCGACGCGCGCGCACACGCGCATCAGTAGTACCGAAAGTTGTGCGCGGAGCTGGCCAGTCATCGACGTACCACGGGTTCTGGGGCCGCATCGTAGCCAATATCAAGGTGTCGTCGGGCCATGGCCGATGGTTGAATCAACTCGTAACAGCAGTCACCTCAAGTCCTCTGCTTTGATGGTGACGAGGCTGCCGCTGCCAGTTGACACATCAACAAAATAAGCCCGTCGCACACGCTCGTTCTCTGCTGTTGGAAATGAAACCCAGTGTGGTGTGTGTGTTTGTTCTGTCTGAGTGATTGCGCAATGAGTTGTGGCGACTTTTTTTTTTTTTTTTTTGAATTTCTCCATTGATGTCTGAGCGGCTCACTGATCAAGCAGAAAAGAACATACATGACCCCACGGTCGTAGCCACGCCCAACATTACACAAAATTACACTCAAATGGGCAGCCGACTAGCAAAAACAAGGGTTGCTTTGGCGTGTCAGAGCACGCAAAGAGCAGACAGCGGTACTACACCGCTGTGAAGAACTCATACGACTCCACTCAACGACGAACACATCAACGCAATGCCACGTGCATAAATCGTACTGGCCCCCACACCCTCAGGTGGCTGCATATCACAAGTAAAGATGAGCTCGGCGCGTGTGCCGTTGAGATAGACCGGCAGACGCACGCCGCTGCTCTGTGAACCCTCATCCTCACCCTCCTGGTACTCCCAGCGCAGAACAGTCAAGGGTAAAATCGTGAATGGCTCGCGCACCAGCTCGAGACGCTCTCCACGCGCGCGCGCGCCGTCCAAGCGCATATTCGTGAGCAAAAAGTTTTGGTCACTCCGCGCGGGCTTGTCTTCAAGACCCTCCCGCACGTCGAGAGACAAATTGAGCTTCTCGAGTGCCCATCCATGAGCCTGTGCCACGGCTTGGCGAGTGGCCGTGATGAAAGCTTCAGGCACGAAAAGACCACCAATCCAGACGGTTAGGCTTTGCAGATCACCGCCAGTGTTAGCCACCCCGGCAATGCTCTCAAGTTGAGCGACACGCTCTGCAAAGTCCACCACCCACGCCGACACCGCAAGGTCCTTGGGCACTTTGTACTTGCGCCACGAGGCCGGGACTAGACCCTTGTTAAAGCTATCCACCATGAGGCTGCGGATGTGGTTGGTTTGCTTGATCTCACCCTTGCAAGCGGCAATAACATCTGCCAAGTCGGCGTGCACGGCGTGCAATAGCTTGCTGCCGATACCTGTTTCGCGATCAAAAAAGCGGAAGAGCGGGTCCTTGATCTTTTCAGGCGTACGCTCAAGCATCTTGAGATCCAGTGGCAGCGCTTGTTGCCATTGCTCGCAGTTGTGTTGAACTGTCTTCATCCACGCCGGGGCGGCGCTGCTGGCTGCCGACTCGATAACTTCTTCTTCCTCGTCATCACCATCGTCCGTCGTTTGTAACATTTGGCAGTTGCCTGCCATGGCGGCAGCGCGGTTGGTCAACAGCACGATTTCAGCATTCGAGGGCAGCCCCAGCCAGCTGGGGCTCTGCGAATCTGGCAAGCTAGCAGCCCATGCCAAAAATTGCTCGCGATGAAACCCTTCGGGCGTCAGAATGGCCTCTGTTCCGCTATCTTTATCGGCTGGCACCAACTCATGGCCTTCTTCAAAGCTAAGCATGTTGGAAGGAAGACAAATATGTGAATGCTGGCATCTTCCGTGCAGGTACTCAGACACAGATGACGACGCAGATGTATCATCAAGCTGGGGGGTAACAAACCTTTCGGGACGGAATACTTGGGAAATGAAACTCATGAGGAGTCGTTGATCCGTGTCATTGTCAATGCGCCCACCGTAAATGGAGGATGACATGAGCTTGCGCATGGCCTCCCAAGGAATCTTTGCGGGATCCACATGTGATCTGTTTGGGAAGGGGAAAAAAAAACAAAAAAAAAAAACAAAAAAAACAAAAACAAAAAACAAGCAAGGAAAGTGTGAGAAGGATAAGGACAAACATACACACCAAAGGCAAATGACGGACCCCGCCCCGCCCCGCCCCCCCCCCCC